ACTTTAGAAACTCAATTTGACCATAAAAGGAGAAACCCGGTGAAATCTATCCGGACAAGTAGATCGATGCTTGAGCCCCCTAATACTGTATGAGGTGATTCAATTTCATGTGATTAATCTATATCCAATGTCCATTGCTTTGATAGGACAATTCGCATCGGACAGATTTCCATTGTCCGAACTCCATTCATGCCAACCCTGTGTAAATTTATTACATATGATAACAATACATCATCAAAAAAAAAGTTAATCTCTTAACTTATATCATTTTTTGATTTTAAAATTTCAAAACAGAAATAGGACATTTTGTACCCCCATTTATTTTCGAAATAAGTTAATTATGAATCACCCTAATAGTGAAATTTTTTTTTTATTTCCTGGGAACATAAATTTTTAAATTTATGTTCCTAAAAAATTTTTTCTCTTAATTATTACGTACAAATGAATAAAATTAAATAATAAATATTACGTACAGTACTGCAATATGGGAACATAAATTTTATGTTCCGTTCCTAAAAAGGAAATAAATTTTAAATTTAGTGTTCCTAATTTTTTTTAAATGTTCTTGGGAACATATTAAAAAATTAACCTTCGACATGTCGAAATTTGTTTTGCATCATATTCGAAAGGAATCTAGCTTATGCATCAGATTAATGAGAACAATACATATGCTATTTAAACTAAGCTATTATAGAGATTCGTTTAGTTCATCTACGCAGAATTGTTATTTTCGAATTGTGACAAATGAATTTGTGAATCCTACTTAAAAATAATGTGTAACATTAATGGCTATTGTAAATTAGTAATCTCGTGCGAACTTTTAGAAAAGATCAGCGAATGAAAGACAGCATTCATGCGAGTTTATCAATATCAGATATAACGTGACAATTACTCTTTTTTAAAAAATCTTTTAATAATACCTATCTTAATCAACAATGTTATCGATTATATTTTCACATTACACTTAGTATTGCGTCTGATTGGATAAGATTCACAGGACTGCCGCCCTTTGCCACTATTGGTCTGCCTTTTACCCGTGAATTATTGCAAAGGATATTTGAAGACGTATACGTATTTTCATTATCCGCGCATCGTCCATCATTACGATAGATTATACATTGTAAATAATGTTTAAATCTAACTCCTCATTAAAATCTAACCCCTTATTAAATGATAGGTTTAATATCTAATACAATATATAAATCTTGTTAGTACCAGAGCCTATATTTGTAGCCGATCCTTATTTATTTTGGTTTAGTCAAGTCAGCTATCCGGATTGTTCATTAAACTATACATGCTATATATATGCGAATATAATCAATAATTAAGTTGAATTATATATATATATAAATACTTGATCTTAATGCTTTCAATATAAATAAAATATTACGTCACAACGAATTTAAGTATTTTTATTTAGGGCTCAGGTTTCGCCCGTGTGGGTAATTATTTTTGAACCCGGTCCATGCCAAGATTCAAATTTAATTAATTAAAAAGACCAACGCAAAATCGATTAGCGTCTGGATGCCATTTCCGATTTACTCCGTTAGTATTTTTAGAATAACAATAGTGAATAAAATCGCCTAACTGTGAAATTTAAGCTGTTCGCACCATATAAATCAATCTAAAACCAGCAATTTTCATAATCTATTTTTAGGTGACACCCAGATAAGGAATATCGACCAATCGGATTTAAAGACCGCTAATGTTTAACTCGTTAGCTTGCTCCATATATATTCTAAATGAAATCGAATTGGTTTCAAAAAAACAAGAATGGCACAACGCCAGAGGCATTACATTCGAAAACCATGTTTATACTTAACAATTTTCATAACAATATTTCTTCTACTGATATTAACTCTAATGCACCTTGGACCTAATGAGGAAATATTAGAAGGTGCAATAAAAGACGAAGAAATCTTTTTGAATCCACCACCAGACACCAATGAACTCCTCGATCATCCAGTTATATATCCCATTAGTGGCGATTCTATCAAACCTAGACATTACAAATTACTCATAGCAATAACTTCTCATATCAGAGAGATCCGAACGAGAAAATTATTAAGAGAATATATGTTTGGTATTAAAGATAATTTAAGACCATGTATGGAAAATAATGGTGATATATACTACAAATTTTTATTAAAACCTTATCAACAAACTGATAAAAAAATACTAAGAGATTTTACAGCGGAGTCTGTGGAATTTGATGATATTGAGGAGTTCCCAAATCAATCGAAATTGAATTGGCAAAAAAACTGTTCTTACATGGGTACGTACATGTATGCTGTTCATTTTAATTTAATAGATCTTATAATAATTGAAATAATATTATTAAAGATCCATTCACTCGAGAAACAAGAAATCACTTACGACAATATCGTAATTATGGAAGATCATTCTGTGATCAACCTTCAAAAACTTCTGACTATACTGGATTCTTCTGTAGTCAACACTCACGCCTTGACACCTAGACAGAAATCTAACCTAATATGGGGTCGTTTCGATACCGTGGATAAAGATGAAATGTTTATAATCCTTGGTCCAGAGTCTGTGGCCACTTTACTCGATCTTGACTATTTCTTAAAAAGCATTAACAACAACAACAACGGGATAAAACAACGAAAACTTAAAAACAAATTTGAAGAGACTGAAAAACCAATATTTAATATTATAACTCGGGCGTATCACTACTTTGTTGAACCAAGTCATGTAGATGAAAGTGATTTATTTTTCATAAATGATAATATTGGACTGATAGAATGGCCGAACGCTGTTGAAAATATTCCAATAGAAACAACGATAGGGGTGGGGCACGTGTTTCTAGAAAGTGAATTAAGAGATGTATTCACACGTTTATCAATTTCCAAAATTACAGCCTGTGATCCAGTTCCACGTAAAGGTGACAAACTATCCATAGCGGTTGTATCAAGCAGTTTCGTATATGACAACATGTGTATGTTTCCTATAGCAAACATTCTAGCAGAAAATAAACGCGATTACGCTAAAAAACACGGATATTCATTTGTGGGCCGCTCCGAAGAATTTGATCAACAAGCACATTATAAGAACCGACGTACCGTCTGGGGGAAGATTGATTCAGTTGAAAAAATTTTACCACATTACGATTGGGTATTTTGGTTGGATATGGACACTGTTATTGCAAATCAGTCTGTTACTGTTGAATGGTTATTCGAAAAATTTACTGAAATGGTTGGAGGAGCTGATAATTTTAAAAAGATTAATTTGGTGGTTGCCAGACCTAAACAAGATGTTACTATAAATGCAGGTGTTTTCATGATTAGGAATTCAGAGTGGAGTCGAAGATTTTTAAGGACAATACAGCAACGAAGAGATCTTTATCATATGCATCAGATGGAACAACGTGCAATGTGGGATCTCATGAATACTCCAGATTATAAAGATGAGGTAAGAAAATGTGTAATCTCATTTAATTTCATAAGTCAAACAATACAGTCAGACCTCTTTAAATGCAATGCAACGGGACTATATATATTGCGCGTAATATTAATTGGGTCCAAAATAAGACCTACATTTGGGGCTTTTCGTAGGACACGCATTTAGGGGTGCAGCATTTAGGTGTTGCATTTACAGATTTAGGGAAGTCTGACTGTATATTGAGTAACGTGATAATAGTCTTTAATATACTTTATTATAATTTCATCATGTGTTATTAATATTTTATTCTATCATGATTATGACTAATTATTATTCACTGATTTTTTATAGACACTTTTCCTTGATAAAGATGATCATACTTTCAATACGTTTCCACACATGTACGTTCCAGGTGATTTTGTAGTTCACTGGGCACCGGATGATTGTCCCGTAAAACCCATATTAGATGCTATTGGAAAGTTTAAGCAATACGAAATGAATAGAAACTTCAAGTTCACTCTTGACCATCCCCCTGATCATTGATCGGAGATTGAGATATAAACATTTATTAGTAAGATGATGTATTTAAAGAAATATTTGCTGTCAATTCTTTTTTCGAAAAAAAATCTTTATTGTAATAATTATCTGTTTATTTGTATTAAAAATAAAATAAAAATACTTAAAAAGTTCGCAATATGTGAATCTGTGCTCGGTTTGCAGATCTTCACGTGTCAATACTATCTGCTATTAGTATACTTTTTGGCCCCAAATCCCAAACCCCTAAAAAATGATTGCTACGTTATAAAAAATTAAATCAAACAAATAATCTTAAAATTTTACAAGTATATGGGCTGCCGTCAATAGAAATCAGGCAGATCGACATTTTAAAAAAAAATCTATACCTCAACTTTCACAGCTCATATATCGATGAAT